GCGCGACTTTTGCACTTCGAAAAGCAGGTAGGAATATTGAAATATTCCCCGGAGTTCGCCGCTGTTATCGGTATGATAGCTTATCATTCGGGGCGTCAAAGGTAAGCGAAAATATATACAGTGTTCGCCGAAGTCAGGAGTGAGGTATGTCGCTAAAGCTATGGCTCCACCCCTCCCCCTGCTTGAAGATAGCTGGAGGTTAGGCCGCATGTCTGTTACTGGCTCTCATAAAAAAAATAAGAAAGGGGGCATTTATCTCCGGATCACGGCGAAATCATTAGCACGAGCTTACGTTATGGTTTCACCCATTTATCCGTTTTCAGTCAGCGCCACGGTAACTGTTACAGGGACTCCAAAACTCTGCCCTCATTTCACAACAAACAAGCAGCACTTTCTCGAACAATCAGTGTAACGTTACTGTAGGAAGACGCGGCTTTTTTATACGGAGATGTTTTGATTAGTATGTGATTATTGCTTGTTATGGTATGCTTTAAGACGTTTATCTATTGAAATATTAGTGTTGAGTGTGTGTGTTTCTGTTTTGTTCTTCATAACTGGATCTTGCCAAGGAATTTTGAAAGGAAAGACATTTTAGTTAAATTCTTTGGTAATCTCTGGCTACTAGGCTCCAGTGAAATGATCTGAACAATAATGTAAAATATATTAATAATTATGTATGTAGAGAAACACTTGCTATCTTAGTAAAATAATTATCCATGCCAGAAAAAGGCATTGAAATTTCTGTAGGTGGCATATGTTATTATTTATGCTCCATTACTTACTAAATGCTTATCAGGCTAGAAGTTGATTTTTTTTAGTGCTCTTTACATTGAAATAATTCAGGAATCACAAAAGACAGAAATCCTGTAATCAGAAAGTGAAGAAACGCTGAACTGTGTCTAATGCTTGATAACTAGCATAGAACCATTCTTTGGTTTTGAGTAACTTTTTTTCTTTCACAGGTGCTGGATTGGAAGCTGACATCTAAACCACACTTACATTGAGGTGTGACTAAAGAAGCAGGAGTAAAAAGTGAATATGGTCCGTCAAGGAGGCAAAACAACATGCACAGCCCACTTTCTGAAGATCAAAGTTGACTGACTCAGACAAGTGACTCAGGGCCTAAATGTGTCAGATGAAGCTGCAGACAATTACAGGATATAGACGCCTTCATATCTTCTCATTTTAGAACACACATCTGTCAAAAAAAGGGAAGTCAGTTGAAACTGTCTTTGCCAACAGCACATTTGGGGGTATTTGTCCTCGGTTGTGCTGAGAACTAAGCGATGGCCATGGTGAGAGGGGGGTGGGGAGATCCCAATGGGGAGACTAATGGACTTGGTGACAAGGGGTACGTGAGGGGAGATGAGGACGACAGGTCACCCCAAGGAGGCGGCAGCGACATGGAGGCCGGGGAGGATGATAAAGGTGTGGTGGACTGTGTGGTCTGCGGTGACAAGTCCAGTGGGAAACACTATGGTGTGTTTACTTGTGAGGGCTGCAAGAGCTTCTTCAAACGGAGTGTCAGACGAAACCTTAACTATACCTGCAGGTAACGGAGGGAATGTCAGCGATGTTTATGTATGTGCTTGCTGTACGTGTTAGTTGATGTTCTCAGCATATTCATTAAGCCAGTTTTTTGGTGTCTTTCAGATCAAACAGAGACTGCCAGATTGACCAACATCACCGCAACCAGTGTCAATACTGCCGTTTAAAGAAGTGTTTCAGAGTTGGAATGCGCAAAGAAGGTAACCGTCTATCCAGAATGGCTCTCTGTCAGGGTGCGAATTACGGGGTGTTACAGGGACTCCAAAACTCTGCCCTCATTTCACAACAAACAAGCGCAGCACTTTCTCGAACAATCAGTGTAACGTTACTGTAGGAAGACGCGGCTTTTTTATACGGAGATGTTTTGATTAGTATGTGATTATTGCTTGTTATGGTATGCTTTAAGACGTTTATCTATTGAAATATTAGTGTTGAGTGTGTGTGTTTCTGTTTTGTTCTTCATAACTGGATCTTGCCAAGGAATTTTGAAAGGAAAGACATTTTAGTTAAATTCTTTGGTAATCTCTGGCTACTAGGCTCCAGTGAAATGATCTGAACAATAATGTAAAATATATTAATAATTATGTATGTAGAGAAACACTTGCTATCTTAGTAAAATAATTATCCATGCCAGAAAAAGGCATTGAAATTTCTGTAGGTGGCATATGTTATTATTTATGCTCCATTACTTACTAAATGCTTATCAGGCTAGAAGTTGATTTTTTTTAGTGCTCTTTACATTGAAATAATTCAGGAATCACAAAAGACAGAAATCCTGTAATCAGAAAGTGAAGAAACGCTGAACTGTGTCTAATGCTTGATAACTAGCATAGAACCATTCTTTGGTTTTGAGTAACTTTTTTTCTTTCACAGGTGCTGGATTGGAAGCTGACATCTAAACCACACTTACATTGAGGTGTGACTAAAGAAGCAGGAGTAAAAAGTGAATATGGTCCGTCAAGGAGGCAAAACAACATGCACAGCCCACTTTCTGAAGATCAAAGTTGACTGACTCAGACAAGTGACTCAGGGCCTAAATGTGTCAGATGAAGCTGCAGACAATTACAGGATATAGACGCCTTCATATCTTCTCATTTTAGAACACACATCTGTCAAAAAAAGGGAAGTCAGTTGAAACTGTCTTTGCCAACAGCACATTTGGGGGTATTTGTCCTCGGTTGTGCTGAGAACTAAGCGATGGCCATGGTGAGAGGGGGGTGGGGAGATCCCAATGGGGAGACTAATGGACTTGGTGACAAGGGGTACGTGAGGGGAGATGAGGACGACAGGTCACCCCAAGGAGGCGGCAGCGACATGGAGGCCGGGGAGGATGATAAAGGTGTGGTGGACTGTGTGGTCTGCGGTGACAAGTCCAGTGGGAAACACTATGGTGTGTTTACTTGTGAGGGCTGCAAGAGCTTCTTCAAACGGAGTGTCAGACGAAACCTTAACTATACCTGCAGGTAACGGAGGGAATGTCAGCGATGTTTATGTATGTGCTTGCTGTACGTGTTAGTTGATGTTCTCAGCATATTCATTAAGCCAGTTTTTTGGTGTCTTTCAGATCAAACAGAGACTGCCAGATTGACCAACATCACCGCAACCAGTGTCAATACTGCCGTTTAAAGAAGTGTTTCAGAGTTGGAATGCGCAAAGAAGGTAACCGTCTATCCAGAATGGCTCTCTGTCAGGGTGCGAATTACGGGGGGGTTTGGGGGGGTCTGACCCCCCTAAAGAAGGCTTGATCCCCCCTGATGGACGTCAAAACTAGATGTAAGGGGGGGTCAGATAGAAAGACGGCTAGCCTACGCGTAATATGGAGATTTACTTGTAAATATGAATACGCATAATATGGAGATTTACTTGTAAATATTAATATGCATTTCTATAGCCCTGGCTAATTTTAAAATATCATTTTGGCAGCCCCTGAAATGGGTCGTATTGATATTACCTGAGTGGTTGGAGAATACGCTACAGCGCTCATTCAAAGACGTGCATTTATTGCTTGGATGGAACAAGAACACCTAAAATGCATGTGTAGATTCAGTCGAGTGATAAAGTTTACCCTCTTCAAATGAATGCTGTTGAACTGAATTTACAGAGCAAACTATTTGCTAAAATAACCATTAACAGCAATACAGCGGTTCTGTCAGATGCGCGTGAAAGCTGCATGTGTTAGGCTACTATAACAAACACTGCGTGTTTTCTTTTAGAATCATCATTGGCTGGTAGAAATACAAAAATAGGTTACATAACAGTTTTTACGTAAAAATGAAGATAAGGTAAAGGTGTGAATAATTACATTTTAGACACATTGTCAGTAATTTCACTAATGAAAATAAAGCCCTAGGAGAACTGTTGTGCATCTTTGATCAACACACAGCGGTGTTTCATTAATGAATCCACGTTTTTAAACGAATCGAGTGAATCAATGATTCAGTGAACCATTCATAAAGGCAGTCACTTGCTTTGTTTCAGAATGAATCAGCCGTTTGAACGAATCGATTGAATGAATGATTGAGTGACTCACTGACTTAAGACAGGTATTTGCCACTACCTACTGACGCTTTTAGTTGTATATAGAGTATCGTTTTTTTTTTTTTATAATTTAATATTTCACTATTTATTTGTATTTTTGTATGTTGAATTAAAATATTTCTATCTTAAGCTACTTATATTTCAGCTACTTTTCTGTAATGTCTATTCAGTTTTTTTTTTCTAAATGAACACAATGATAACTATTATCTTTAATAATAACTTTATCTTTAATCGGCACATGATGTGCATGTTAATTAATTAATCTCATTAATTTGAGATTAATTTGATTAATTAGTAGGCTACATTAAGTAATTAATTAGATATTTTTTAAATAATCACTTGACAGCCCTATTTAAAGCATAAAAAATAGCCCCCCCCACTGGTCACTGTAATTCACACCCTGCTCTCTCACTGTTTAATCCACACAGACGCATTCAATTTATGCACTGATTTGTCAACATGTTATAGAATATATAGTAAGCAAAGGGGCTGTGTCTCTCATGGAAGATTTAGGACACGTTTTTCAACCGTACATTACCGTTCAAAAGATTTTTAAAAATGTTTTTGAAAGGAGGTAATTATGCTCACCATAGCTAAATTTATTTGACCAAAAATACAGCGAAAACAGTATATATTCTATTTGAATATATTTAAAAATGTAATGTAAAAGAACCGGCTTTACTGACAAGATGCGCGTTAAATATCGCATGCGATTTATCGTGCAGCCCTAATTCCTGTGATGGTAAAGCTGAATTTTCAGCAGTCATTACTTCAGTTTTCAGTGTCACATGATCCTTCAGAAATCATTCTAATATGCTGATTTGCTGCTCAAGGAATGTTTCTTACTATTAGTAGCAATGTTGAAAACTGTTGTGCTGCTTAATTTTGTGGAAACCATGATCCATTTTTTCAGGATGTTTTGATGAACAAAGTTCAAAATAACATTTATTTGAAACTGAAAATTTTGTAACATTATAAGTAAATTTACTGTTGAATAAAAGTATTAATTTCTTTAAAAAATTGAACTGCTTTAACGCTACTGAATCTACAGCGTCATGGGAAATTTATATTTTACACAAATTGTGAGTTTGCAGTCTGAATTGAATGTGACTGGGTACCACAAAATTACACAAAGACAACAGTTAGTTTCTGACTGCATGCAAATACAAGCATACAACGTAATCAGTGTAGTCCAATTCACAAACATGACTTTTAGAAACAGGTTATTTTAATAAAAAAGACTTGCACGTTACTGGGTTGAACGTAATGGGTTGCTAAAGCAGGAAGCTGTAGGAATCACTGTTTTATATTTGATAGTTAGAGTGACGAGAGTCTAAGAGCTGTATTTTATTTTAAGCCGACCCAGATGGTGTTTGTTTACCAGTGCACATGATGAAACTTACATTAGGGCGTGATGACCTATATATTTAATTGCCTCAACAGTTTTACTTTTAAAACAGTGATGGTTATAATGTTTAGCTTTTTGTTGAACATTTTCATTCCTCATTTATAAAGTGTCTGAAGGTTTGACTAGAACGGTGTTTGCAGGTTCCTTTTTTCATTTGTTGAGTGCTTGTGTAATCAGGAATTAGATGTTTCTAATCCCTTAGGCCAGTCCTCTGACTCTCTGCCAGATGTTGCATGATAGCAAAAGAAAGGAGCGTTGAAACTAAGTCTATCAAGCGTTTCAACTCAATCACGACTCTCCCCTTCTCTTCCCTTTCCCCCTTTAGCAGTTCAGCGTGGACGCATCCCACCTTCGCATTCAAGCCTCAGCCCATCCACGACTCCAGTGGGCGGCAATGCCGGCAGCGGCGTGAGCGAGTTCTACAACGGGCAGCCGGTGTCTGAGCTCATCTCCCAGCTCCTGCGGGCAGAGCCGTACCCTAACAGCCGCTACAGCCATCAGTACAACCAGCAGATGCAGGGGGGTGGAGGATCCATGGGCATCGACAGCATCTGCGAGCTAGCCGCCAGACTCCTGTTTAGCATCATCGAATGGGCCCGAAACATTCCTTACTTCCCTGAGCTGCCTGTATCTGAGCAGGTGGCCTTGCTGCGGCTCAGCTGGAGCGAACTGTTTATTCTTAACGTAGCCCAATCTGCCCTTCCCCTGCACATGGCCCCGCTGCTCGCCGCCGCAGGCTTTCACTCCTCTCCCATGTCTGCTGAGAGGGTGGTGTCGTTCATGGACCAGGTGCGTGTCTTCCAGGACCAAGTGGAGAAGCTAACCCGCCTGCAAGTGGATTCAGCAGAGTACAGCTGTCTGAAGGCCATAGCACTCTTCTCACCAGGTGCGCCAGACACGTTACTCCGATTAAACTGCATTTAACCAAACATAATCGAATCAAAGAAGATGTAATATATTTGTACTCTATCCAAAATAGTAGAGAATAACGAGTATTGTGCTGGCAGTCAAATTCAAGCATAATACTAGCGCTCTCTACTGGATAAGACAATCTATTTTTCTCAATGTTTCCTAAATGCATTATGAAGAACCTTTATACTTAACAGATTGTTAGGAATAAGGCAAATTATAGGATAATACCTCCAGTATGCAGATATTCTGTCCTGTAGCATCATGTTTTTAGTTTGAGTTTACACTTATTCATTTGGCACTTGTATCCAAATGTCTCAAACATTTTCAGTTTGTATGTTCCCAGGGACTTGAATCTATGCAGAGCTTTTTTTTTCAATATGTTTGTTTGTCAAGTAGCAAAAAATAAATAAAAATAAATACAATCTTTTGAATTTAGATTTATCAGAATTGAGGTTTATTCCATAATTGATATGTAATTAATAATATAATAACTTATATTTTAAAACATAATTTTTTTTTAATCATTCAAACTTATTAATTTATGTGTTTATTTTACAAAGAAAAATTATAATAAGTAATTGTAATAAGTAATTGCTGGAAATTATACTGTTATAATGTAAGCCATTCATTTCTAAATTCTTGAAGTGCAGGCATATGTGGCTAAGCATTACTAATTAGGGATGTAACGATTAACTGCGAGCAAAAAAAAAAAATTATAATAATCGTGAATCGAATCGTGAGTTGAGTGAATCGTTACATCCCTATTACTAATTAGTTTGTACTTAATTTGTAAAGCATTCTTGCAATTTTTACAAAACTTGCTAGCCTGCTAGATAATTTTATCTTGGTGACAAGTTTAAATCAGTATAATTTGCACCTACATGTTTAAGTTACCAAAGCTTAATAACAAATGATGGTGCAGCAATGGCCATAAGCTTACCTCAAACTCACACAGCGAAGCCGACTTTCCACTATCTCTGACATTTGCATACTTTATTTCACATTTTGTCCCCAAACGGCGGACGCACTGAACCTTCAAACTGGTTATGAATTAGCCGTTACCTTCCGTTTATTCACTATGGTTAAATAAATGAACAATACATGTATGCATACTGTATATCCACACAAAACAAATGACCAGCAATGAGTTTAAAGAAAAATATAGAAGGTTTTCTAGGGCTAAACATAAATTATGTAATTATTATAAAATAATAATTTTGCAACATGTCAGCTAACTCTAATTAGAGAATTAATAGACTGTTAGGTTAAGATTAGGTTAGTAGTAGGGCTGCACGATTAATCGAATGCGATTGTCATGCGCATTTTGTTAGTAATGCCGGTTCTGTAATCAGCAGTAAATCATCATCACGTGCTTTCAGATGGAGCAGCATTTACTAGAGCCGTAGTTCACTGACAAGTTACGCAAAAAAATCGCTTTTATTGCGCGATTCTGAAATCGAAGAAATCGTTTGCGATAATGACAGCTGTTTGCATAGCTTCACAGTGAACTATGGCTCTGTGAAGTAAATGCTGCTCCATCTGAAAGCATGTGAAAATACCACATTTAATAACATATTTTTACTCCAAACTCACTTCATAACGTCAGTCGAGTGTTTGAAATAAATCCTCCTGTGAGATGATGTGGCTTCTTACACAGAATAAGGCACGCAACATATTTCATAATATTTAAGCAGTGATAAAGGCATTGCATTATAAATATACTTTATTTTAATGAAAATTATAATAATAAGAGATAAACCATATATTGTCATAATCGTGTGTTTATTAGTCACATTGAATCAATAAAAGCAGTTAAATCTTCTGTTTATCCAGCTACCGCTATAGGCATTTCCTGGGTTTCTTCTGCGAGGCGTATTTGGAGTTTCAGCGCGAGAGCGCCCTCTGGCCTTTGGATGGAGATTTACTGCTGATCACACAACTGTGCTTCAATGAAAGATACGCATGACAATCGCAGCTTCTGTTGAATCGCGATTTCGATTCCATTTCGATTTATCGTGCAGCCCTAGTTAGTAGGATAAGTTACTAGTCAGTTGAATTTGTGTTGATGACTAGTAGTTGACATGTAGTTGCAAAGTTATTTATTGTTAGGAGAATGTTGGAGTGGACTATTAAAATAAAGTGTTGCCATAAGTATTAATTACCACCCACTTTACAGAAATATTATTTAAATATTTACAGTTCAGTCCAAAAATATTGGCAGTTCTCACCTCACAGTCCTAGTTTTGATTTAGATTTGATTCTTTAAATGCACCCGAAACTCAAATCGTATCTGAAAGTTCCACATACACATATGGCCGGAACTCCATGTACCTCTCGTACTAGTTTTCGTTGGAAATGAATTACTTTTCGGTCTGTCACTTGTGTGCGACTTGTCTCGAGCCAGCGGTCCATCCTTATTGTTGAGCCCTACCATGACCTTGGCATTGCTAGCATCATTCTTTACCAGCTGAGTTAGAGGGAGTCTAGTTTCATATCTGTAATACTCTGGTGTTCTTTGTGTTTAGATGCGTGTGGGCTGACAGACCCGGCTCATGTGGAAGGCCTGCAGGAAAAAGCTCAGGTGGCCCTGACCGAGTACGAGCGCATGCAGTACCCCGGGCAGCCCCAGCGCTTTGGACGCCTCCTACTGCGACTGCCTGCTCTGAGGGCCGTGCCCGCCAACCTTATCTCTCAGCTCTTCTTCCTGCGCCTCGTGGGCAAAACGCCCATTGAGACTCTCATCCGTGACATGCAGCTGTCTGGCAGCTCCATCAGTTGGCCGTATGCTCCCGGACAATAACCATTATCAGATGTGACCACGAAACCAGTCTGAACTGACTGAACTCTGAACTGCACAACTAGTGAGGATCTCGGTGTAATTTCGTTTTTTTTTCCAACCACACATTCACATCTGATATTCACTGTATCACCTAATGCAACAGGGTTATACTACGGGAATGGTGAATTCAGTAGTACATGGCAGAAGGCTTGATCTATGCTCTGTGAATGCTCTTATGTGGCCCAGAAGCATTCTTAAAAAATAACTTGAGAAATCTTGGTTATCTGTTAGCCAAAGATAAGATGTAGGTTATAGTTTCATAGCGAGTTATTAAGTGGAAATTGGTTGAAACCCAAAACAAAAAGCTCTGTCAGTTGGGTGTGAGCATGAAAGTCACTTTGGACTGTCCCTGGAGGCAGCAGGAAATCAAGTCCCCCTTATATTCTGCTCTGCCCTGTCCTTGTGTACCAGAAAGCCTGAAGGAGGAGGAAGTAAACATGATGACATCCAAAAACCCAAACAAACCAAACCGAAACAGTCAGAATTGGGACTTAGGCATTTGTTTTGCCAATGATAACTACTTGGTTTTTATTTTTAGCTCTTTTTTTCCCTATCAATGCTAATGTATTTCTATGAGGAGAGATTGAAATTTGCAAAAGCTAATGCGAGAGATTGGATCATGTTTTGTGAAATAACCAATTTTTGATTAGTAATATGCATTGCTAAGAACTTCATTTGGACAACTTTAAAGGCGATTTTCTCAATATTTAAATTTTTTTTGCACCATCAGATTCCAGATTTCCAAATAGTTATATCTCGGCCAAATATTGTCCAATCCTAACAAACCACACATCAATGGAAAGCTTATTTATTCAGCTTTTTTCAAAAATTGACACTTGGGTCCAGGTTGACATTTGACAAATCAATTGCGGACTGTATTTGTACTTTGAGTTAAGGTACAGACTTATCTCTTTGAGAATGATTTATTCTTCTTTACTGCACGCTGCTGCATTTGAGATGACAAATTAAGTAGTTATGCTTTTTTTTTTTCAGATGAAAAACCAGTGAACTTTCTTCATGAAAGTTGTTCATCTACATGCATAAGACTGTCTTCTACTGGTTTTATTCTGCTTTTCTTGCTTTTGTTTTTTTCATACTTACCAGATAATGCTAAACTGGTATGTTTTTTTTTTTTTTACCTGGTATGATTATGTATGTCGACCAAAAGAAATACCTCTACAGTCTGTTGAGACTCAAACGGACTTTCTGTCTTTCATGGCTGGGTCAGTTTTTAAATTTATCATCCCACTTGAGCTGCTCACTTTACACTAAAGAGGAGTGATTGGATCTATCTGTCTGTTATGTTTGTGTTACAAGGCCGTTTTTGGTAAGAAACTGGCACTGCCTGACTATTTTGTCTTTTGTGGAGCAGTGCTCTGGTGGGCGTTTTACAGGTGACTGCATGTTGTATTTGGCTCTTGTTGTGAGATGTAAGTTTTCTAGCCTTATCATACATGTGAATGACTAATATTACCTCATATTTAGGCCTTGAAACGTATCAGGCGGTCTAATATACATAAACGCATCAAAACGGCAACATGTACAGTTTTCATTTTAATATCTTTGTCTTTTTAAATACTTGTGTATGACAGCTTGATTAAACAAAAGTATCATACATTGAATTTTGTACTTGTGAGAGCCTTTTTGCCTGTTACCCATCCTTACAAAGGAATAGTTTATATATATATATATATATATATATATATTCATTCAAATAGTAAAGAGATAATTTTACAGGAAAATCAGAAATATTTACAACAACTGCAACTTTACAGACACAACTCACCCAGCATAGCTTGTAAATGTCTAGACAAATAGTGACTTATACAGTGAATGCATACATGTGTACAGTTTTAGACAAAGAAATCCTGATGATCAGCAATATTAGTCTTCTCTCTCCTTGCAAAGCATCTGTCATAATTTTTCACCAGTTGCTTGATATGACACAGCTCCTGCCTCAGTTTTTTACACCGGAGCTTCTTAGCCTGGTATTCTGGAGACTGGAGAAAGGAAATGGGTATTAGGGATCACATAGTGACTACATTTAGACCATTAAGGCTAACCAGTCTCTTAATACTGATGGATAAAATATGAACTGTATTGAGAAATATTTTTCCTTACCCGCTTCAGATCCTTGAGTCGATTATATTCATCAGCTACAGCCTGTGATACAAAGAATATATATATGGGTTGTACTGCGTTTATATCATATAAAATGTTGTAACATAGATGTATAGCTGTCTGAGTTGACATTTATATATATTAGATGTCTGAGTTGACATTTATATATATTTTTTTTTCCCCTTTCTTAGCTTTATTATTTTTACTTTATTGGTTTTTGATGCCTACCTGGAACTTGGTGGATTCCTCATGGAGGGTGTCCAACTCTCGGCTCAGTTCATTCATTTGATCGCTGATATCATCCATTTCTACACAGAGGTTCTTATATTCAGCGAGGCAGATATCAAACTGTTTCTTGTACTGTGTGCGCCGTTCATCGGTTGTAATTTCTGAATAAGAACTGTAGCAGGAAAAAAAACAAGTAATTATATTGCAAAACAATCTGCTATTCAAACAGTAATAGAAAAACAGATTCTCAACTGATTCTCGATTTGAGCAGAACAACATACTGTATAAGAAGGATAAGAAGTATTCATGATAGAAACTCACTCCTCCAACTCATACGTGTCTAATTCAGTGGCCGAATCTCTAGCAGTGGTGTAGCCTGTCTCACATAGCACATCCTCAACCTCGTACGTTACAGGATTCTTTTGCACTGAGCTGCTCTGCACTTCAACTTCCTCCTCAGGGTTAAAGCTCAGCCACCGATTCTGGTACAATGGCTCTGGGGAGCAACCGTTCACGTTCTCAGAATACCTTTAAAACAAAGTGCAATGAAAAGACTAGTGTGCATTTGTACTTGTAAGAATTTCTCGTCATGAACATGGTCAGAAAGACGGCTGTACTCACACATTGCTTTTGTATGCTCCCTCGCTGTAGATGCTCACTGTTCCCTCAGTGTGCAAGGTGAAGCAGTTCTCTGCTTTCACATGAGGAGAAGCCTTCTCTGATAAAACCACAGTGGGGGTGTATTGAGTGCTTCGCTGGAACAAACCATGTAGAAGCGTTAATGGAGCTGGAGAACCACAGAACAACATGTAATAAGTCAATTTGAGTCTGACACTACCTCTGAATGACCTGATGGGAAACTAGACCAGACTGGAGGACAATCAGAGATACCGTCACAAATTTCTCTGAACAATACTGTATCTTAAGAGACCACTTGGGCAGTTTTATATCACACAATACACCAAGACACTATAAATCCATCACAGCACAATTATCCCACCCTCATGCACATCATGACTTCCTCTAATGAAGTGCAATTATTTCAGTTTTCAGGAAGCACATTTGATGAGAGCGGCACATGGCATTGTATTGTCTTAACAACAACAAACAACATCTGAGGTCATTTCCAGGGAAGTCACTGCATAGTCCAAGAATTCAGAATGACCCAGTTTGAAGTCTCACCTCACAGTGAACCAAATAAAATAAACTTTATTTATTAGGCCTAATAAATAAAACTGCTGTTATTTAGTTGACCATCTTTTTACTATATATCCTGATAATTACACCAGAAGCTATTCTTTACAAGCTGTAATAAGCAGAAACTTACCTAAAACCAGCTAAAGCAAATGTACATTTGGATGAAATTATCAGTCAGTTATTGCACAAGCTGTTGTCTGTTTCTATAAAAAATAACATCATGCATCACCTTATAGTAATAGGAATGCAAATTATCTGTGACTGTCGAGAGGGCTCAGTTTGCTACCTGACCTTTGTTCAGTATCTGTCATTGTGAAGAGAGAAATTCACTTAAGAAACATTGTAAATTAGTGAATGATTAACACAAAAACAATTCAGATCATATGATTGATTTCATTGTATGCCACTGGTTTTGCACTATATTTAAATAATGTAGCCCTCGGTTTCATTCACAAAACCTCCACGAAACATATCACCACAGTCAAAATAAATTAATTAATTAACTAATGATTTAAATGAGAAATAATATAAATATTTTAAAGTGTTAAACTTTATACTCATCAAATAATCCTGAAAAAAATGTACCATAGTTTACACAAAATATTAAGCAGATCAGTTTTCAACATTAAGTTTTTTTTTTTCTTTCATTTTGCTGCAAATTTCATAAGCAATTTGTACATTTCCGAAAACTTTTAGGTCTAATCTCACAACAGATCATCAAAAATGCACTTTTTGTTTTTCAAAAATTTCATCTTGTTTTCAATAGTGCTAGTACAAAAACTTTTCACAACAAAATAACTGTTTCATCTGTGTAAACATTTCATTCACAGTATAAACTATGTAGAACAATGAATTACTGATACAGTATAAGCTATTTAAATCGGATAATAACCAGAATGTTTAAAGTGTATTACTGTAATGAAAGCATGTAATGAAAGCATGAGATCTAGGTTTGAAAGATGGACTAGCAGTGTTACACGTGAGATCAAAATGTACACCTTTCATGTGAAAGTTGCACCAAACAAATAAAAAATAAGAAACGTTTCTTGAGCAGCAAATCAGCATATTCAAATGATTTCTGAAGGATCATGTGACACTAAAAACTCAAGTAATGACTGCCGAAAATTCAGCTTTGCCATCACAGGAATAGTCCTAATGATATAAGACATTTCCGATTTTAAATTTTTCATTTCCATAACTTCTAAGAATCCAAAAAGGTCCAAATTTTGATAAAAAACATTATGACAGCCGTGTTAATGTTAGTTACGACTGAGTCACCTCCTGTTACCGTTTTGACGACAAGCAGAAAACGTTCATGGGTCAGTGACTACATTGAAATGGTCTATAGTCCTACATAAAATGTTTCGCAAACAAAACTTTCATAATGCATTGTATATCCGAGGCCTTGCATTATTCTCCTAGTGCATTTTTGGGTTCGATTAGGATCGGGTGTCTCGGGTTGCAGTTTGCTATCCTAAAATGTCTAAACAAGATACAATATAATCTATAATCCTAAACAGGACGCAAAACCTCTGAACCAGACTTGACCCAAATCTTGCTTCTCTAATCCTAACAATACTAATCAAGGAGTTTGTGATATTTTACACATATTATCAGCTTTAAATACTGGAAAAATAAATATGGCAGGAAAATTGAATGTCAATAGCAATGACCTCAATAAATCTGCAAAAAAAAAAAACTGCCACTTATGAACTCACCCAGTTTTGTGAATTCTGGCTCCTGTTTGTTCTGAGGATAGGCGGTTCCTCCCAGTAGATATTAGGTTTGCCATGACGCCATATTTTGCTTCGAGTCTTATAGGCAAAATAGGCTGCAACAACCAGGGCAATCATGACAAACAGCCCACATACCAGAGCCACAGACTAAAATTAAGAAGACAACACTGATTTAAACGTTACAGTGACACTACAGGCACAGAGGAGGTAAGAAGTGAGAATTACAATATAACAAATAAAGTTTCCGAAAAGGAAGCTTTCGCACTAGTGCCATAGAAGAAACATTTTAGGTTCCTAAAAGAACCTTTCGGTGAACAGTTCTTTAAAGAGCCATGTTTTTCTTAGTCTGAAGAACATTTTAATAATCAAAAAAACTTTTGTGCAATGGAAACATTCTATAGATATTTCTTCATGGAACCACTGATGCCAATTAAAGCACCTTTATTTTTAAGAGTGTATGTCTTCATACTGTACCTCCTCAGGATCCATGAAGCAGTAGTGATGAAGATATCGATTAAAAGACGGATATGCCCCTGGGAAGCCTGTGCCGGCTCCGGCGCTGATGCTGGGAGTCCCTAATGAGGTCTGACACATCATCAGGATGGGGTTGTACATGATGCTTTGTGAACTCTGGGCCATGGGATTCACCCCAATGACGAATACGATGTCTATAATACACTGAAGAATCGCCAGAACCACATCCACCACCAAAACTGTCAGGTAAAACGTTTTTCCACGCACACACCAAGTCTTTGAGAAACTAACCACTAGGATGGCTAAGGATACTACGAAATTAAGAGCTGCCATGGAGATCATGGCTGCCTTTGCGGAGTAGGGTGTCATATAAGAGCTCTGATAGCCGTAAGTTCCTCCATAGTACCCAGACCCCATCCCATTGCCCCCAGATCCGGCAACATAGGCCCTCACACCCCTCACATTTAGCAAAATGCTGCCCTCGTAGCCGTGCATATCCCAAACTAGAGTGGAAGCAACACAGGCGAAAATAACAAAACAGAGCAGAGCAGTCAGTCCCTCCATAGTTTTCACGATGCCAGGTGGTGAGAACCATCTGTAGAAGTGCTGAGGGTTTCCCTCCGTTTGAGGAGCATCAGGCACTGAAGAGTATAAGCCATACTCGCTTCTTTGAGAGTAGCAACTTCTGGATGTGTACATATTTGATGGGGCAATGTAGTGTGGACTGTACTGAGGTGGACTATCATACTCCTGTGTTTCATACATGATTCATGAAGGAATCTGAAAAAAGAAATGAGATCAAATTTAGATCATGAGATCATTTGGGAACAGATATAGCTTTCTGAAACCACAACCATAATTCTTTTTCAGACAAATATCTGCTGTCTTTTGTTTTCATTTTTAATCACAAAACTATATGGACAAGTAGCTAGCTTATATTAGTGGTAAGAAGACCATTTATTGTTATTGTAAACAAAAAAAATGTATACTATTAAAATCATAAATATAGCTGAAATCAAATAAAACAAAATATATAAATATGAAAACCTAAAACTTAAAAAACGTAAACAGAAATTGTAAATGTTGCCTTGGCAATTAACCAAAATAAATATGTTTAAATATAAGTATTAAAATGACTAAAAAAACTAAAATAGAAATAAAATAAATAGTATAACAGCATTTAGCAAAATTACAAAAATCTTACACAAATTAAAATTCAAATGGAATATATAAAAAAGCGAATTAAAAACAATAATAAAACCTATGACAGTATATATAAATAATACTAAAATAACACTGAGGCTACACATTGCCACTCGACACTCATGTGCTGCCCTCAACTAACACCCAGATAATCTCAATTATACATCTAATAATGTTTTTTTTAAATATATAGAAATAATAGTTCTGGTGTCCAGTCACCGCTTCTGAATGGTCAATACAGCGGGTGCAATAAAATTCACAATATAGTAAATCAGATGGCACAACTGCAAATGATATTGAGTGTTGTCACATGAAAAGATATAATAAAATATTTACAAAAATGTGAGGGGTGTACTCACTTCTGTGAGATACTGTATATAACATTTTGTCAATTTTTTCTATGCGGATGAAACTATGTCACAACAAGACAAAGCATAATAAATCAATGCGTCTACAGAGCAATACACAGCCTTCCTGAATCACTCAGTGTTTCTGACCAAATCAGTTTAGTGGTTGATTCAATGACTCACTCATAAAAACAACTGTGTGTTTTGTTCCTGAATAAACTAGTGAGTTTGAAAGAATTTTTGTTTGAATGAATGATTTGATGACTTGCTCATAAAGACAGCCACTTGTCCAGTTACCAGTGTAACCTGCAGAAATGTAACCTCCGAATGCGCAAACTCGCATGATAGTCACAGTGGTGTTAGACTGTACATCAGCACTCTTGGCTAATCAAATTTCATTGAGTGCATTCAAACTATGCATCTTATCATCACTATATTTGTTCCCTGGGATTACAAATGTACAATTGTTAGCACACAGCTCTACCCGTAGATCTACAGGAACTCTCAGAGTTCTGATCTAACTGTATAATTAATATAGAACACACCCCTTTATAGCACAAACAACATTCTCACTCTGGTAGAGTCCAGCCTTAAACACCACTCCCTTCATCAGGCTACTGCAATTCAGTCGAGATGCTCTGAATAATTCAGAGAAACATGAGTAAATGCAGTCATTGGTGGTTTCCATGCTGTACGTTTTCTTCCTCACATTTCTGTTGCATCCCCAAAGTGCAATATACAGCCATTATATGTGAATAAAAGAGTTGAAGAGATGCACTGCTAACAGGAATATTTATAATACCGTATCCTTAGTTAATTATGCTTTAGAGAGAGGGTGAGCTGCACACCTGTGGTAACTTGAAAAGAGTGAATAAATAATTCAAGAGCTGAAAATCAACCTAGCAAGCTTCATACAGCCTCACAGGTGCATGTTGATGGGACAGCTATTCAAGATTTTTTTTCTCCCTAAAAAGGAGAAAGTATTTTTTTTGTGTATTTTTTATGAATATAATTTTACAACTGTCCTCTTAAAAATATTCATATATTATATTTTAGATTAGATGAGCATATAGCTGTCACAACATCTCATCTGGTTTCTGACAGCTACAATCACATGAAACCTAAGAAAAGACGTTGGTATACACTGTAAGATTCAAAAGGTACTGCGGCACGTCTGTGTTTTGCACTTTTTGCATTGACTACAATCCATTTTTAAAAGGTCTATTATTTTGTTGTAAACAAATATTACATAAACATTATGTAACTTACCGTAACACAACAACCACTGGGCTTTTCCTTGTTTGCCTTGGTCCCGCTCTTCTAAGCTTGACCGTTTTCTGTCAAGTATTGTTTAGTGTTTGAGTTTATCCATTTGATGTGAGTACCTGTGACAGCTGCTGCTCATGGTGACTCGTGTGAAAGACCTTGGCCTGAAACGCTAAACCCGATCCAACCCGTTGTATACAATTTTAAAGTGACATAAAAACAGTTGTAGTGTAATAGTGCAAATAAAAAATATATGATTTGTGAAAGTAAAGTTTATAGATTAGGGCCAAATTGCCGTCATGTCTTTTTAACAGCAATGTGTAATTAGTAAAAAAATATATATATATATATATATTTTTTTTTTAGTAATTACTGTCATTCACAGTGAAATTTCTATCAAAATCATGAATTCTCATCTTTATGTGGCTTAGTTTTGCTTTCAGATATTCACACCGTTCCTTCTTCTCCAGAAAGTGTGGATCCTTGAAGAAGCACATAAGAAGTTTAAAATAAAACATAAAACATAAACAAAAATTAATCTCTTGTATCTCAGGTTTTGTAGCAGTATAAAGTCAAGACTTACATTCTTTTTTTGATCATATGTTCTCACTAATTCCATGATTCTCTTGCTATCCTAAATAAAACAACCAAAAACAATTGAAACAACTTGTTTGAATAGTCTAATAAAAAGTAATACAGAGGCAAAATACTATAAATGACTCCAATATCATGTCTCACCTCAGGGCTTCTCCTGTTATTGATGAGTTGGCTCATCATGCTGTCTAATTCCTGAAACTTTATTAAAGTGGCTGTGATCTCCCTGTGCAGTTCCTTGTACTCCAGGTATTGGTCATTAAAGACTGCTTTGTATTGCTCTCTGTCCTCTACGGAATGAATTTCAGGATATTTTCTGTAAAAAAATAAAATAAAATCTTTTAATTTTGTGCCATTTCATATTTTTCTTCAATATTGACACCTAATCTATTAATATTATTCTTAACATAATTTTATTTCTCAAGCCCATCTCATGTTCATCTTATATTTACCTCATTAACATCCATTTTTTTTGCAATTTGTTATTTTATATGGACCTGCTCTGTGGTTCTATTGCAATGTTTAACTGTATTTTTCATGTAAAGATGACCAAGGATTGAGATAACAGGGGGTTTTGCCCACCAGTTAGGTGCATTTCAAAGTAAACACCCAGAAATAGCAGCATGAATCAAACAACACCACATGACACATTATCCATCAAGTTGTCAAAAGCCCTTTCTAAGGTTGTCTACATGTAGACCAGTTGGTTTTACACCATCTATAGTCACCTAAAATATTAACAGATGGAAAAAGAGCCTGTCTAGATCCTTCGAGGGGATTAAATGGGTTAATACCAACTGAATATAACCAACACATGTTACATTTGTGTGGCCTAAATATATAATTTATTGTTGTTAGACCAGAAATAAACCATGAATTATACTAACATAATATAATCAGCGACAACTCTGGGTTTAGGAATGTGTCCCACTGGAATAGCTCCAGTTAAAATCTTTCGTTCTTCAGCTCTCTCTGAGACATAAGCCAGAATGATCTCATTCACAGTGCTTTGATCCATTTCATCTTTGAATGAAATTTTCTTGGATCTAGTCGAGGAGCTGCCCATATTGGATGTGGATTTCAGAGTCTGCTGCTGTAACTGAAAGATAACAGCCATTACAGTTAGTACAACTTGATAACAACAGTGAGAATTTTGTGGAAACTGGGAATTTCATTAGTGTTGTTTGTAAGTTAAAAGTGAAGCAAAAACCCTGTGATCACTATTATAAATTTTTTTATGAAGTTAAGAACAAAAGACATTCATATTCTAATTAATGAAATATACACACTACCTTTCAAAAGTTTGGGGGCAGTAAGATATTTTATTTTTGACAGTCTCTTATGCTCGGCTAGGCTGTATTATTATAACAGTAATAATACATTACTGTATATACTGTGTATAACACAATAATAATATTATGAAATATCATTAACATTTAATTTATTCCTATGCTGGCAAAGCTGCATTTTCATTGTCTTCAGAAATCAGCCTAATATGCTGATTTGGTGCTCAAAAAATTGTTCTTATTATCAATGTTGAAAATAATTGTGCTGCTTAATATTTTTGTGGAACCCCTTTTGTCAGGATTCTTCGATGAATAGAACTTTCAAAAGAGCAGCACTGATTTGGAACAGAAATCGTTTGTAACATTAGAAATGTCTTTACTGTCAATTTTGATCAATTTAAGGTGCCCTTGCTAAATAAAAGTATTAATTTCTTAGAAAAAAACCTTTCTGACCCCAAACTTTTGGGAGGTCATGTAAAATGTGCATTTACCTGGCTGTTCAGCTGGCTTGTCATGGCCTCCCTGTGACGGCGGGCAGCTTCATGCTTCCACATTTTAAGGCACACCAGGAAGCTTATCAAGTACATGACCATGTTAATGAATATAAACGCAGTCCCAGCCATCTGACCCCCCTCAACATGACACAGATTAGACAGGATTGGGTTGATGCCGACTGTCATGAAGCAAAGCCCACCACGATTCAGATCATTCACATAGACGATACCCACTGCCATGTAAAGTAGCGAAAGGACTAGATTCATAACAGCCTCAGTAAGAGGCCACCATTTGGAATCCAGTAGGATCGTTCTGTAATACATTGTTAGTCCCAAAGCCAGCAGGATAACGGTCAGTATCCATGAGAGTCCAACAATGACCAACACAAAGGCTGTCAGGGGGCCATTGTAACGGTAACCTTGTGCACCAACGAACCCATAATTTGGTCTGTAATAGTTGGACCACTCACTGTCTCTCTGAATATACGCACATACACAGGCAAAAACCATCCCACCAAACACAAGTTGAAGGCCAGCAAGTAGTCTTAAAAGGCCGGGCCAAGACTTCAGGTAAGAGTATTTTAACTGGTATACCTCTAGCTTCTCAGCATAGTACTCTGCCGGATGGATACTGGTCAGTTCAGATTCAAGAGTGTCATACTTGAGGTCACCAGTAATAGCATCCCAATGTTTTCTGTCCAGCAATAGAGAAACAGGCGGACTACATCTTGTGCCGTTGGGTAGTATTTTAAGTCCCCCTGAGGTTGTGGAATGCGATTCAGAATCAGTTTTCTTCCATTTCTTAAACAGACCAGTCCAAGATTTAAGAAAAGCACTTTTTTTCATCTTCTCGGCATCCTTGTTGTCCTTCTGCTTGGCTGAACAGCTCTGTTTATAAGGGGAGTAGCTAGAGTCCTCAGTATTGTCATCATTGTGAATTTCTGAAGGATCCTCCTCTGAATATGCTCTGTTGAAATTTTCACTTTGTGAGGATGAGACGTTATCCGAATATGGTCTGCCGAGGTCCGTCATTTTGCTGTAGCTAGTGAGGAAATCAGGGTCTAGTAGCTGTACACAGTAATCTTAGAGAACAATATCAGACAAACTAAGAATTAAACACAAAAATATGTTTTGTTTGATCACTTCCCATTTCTCAAAAGTATTCAAAATTCATAAGAAAAAAAGACATCATAATTTCATGTCCCTGCTGATAAGATCAGCGTAGTTGGTTGCCAAGCCTGTGTTGTGTTTTGGAAGCTAAAAATCCCATTGGTCTAGCAGCTAACTAAATCTGGTATAATCTTTTCAGCAGGTATGGTTAAAAGTTGTATTTGTTTTTAAAGTGCATCAAGTACAGTCATAATGTATACACAATAGTTTCCAATCATCAACTAAAAGGAAGCTGAACTTTGCTCTTCTAAGCATCTGTTCTGTAAAACATATCATAATCATCAGCCCTGAATACATGAATAGCACCATGACAAACATAAAAACCCTCACCTTGCTGTCAGAATAGACTGGTTCGCTGTTAGCGAGTATGGCTGTGCTAAAATGGCTTCGCATAGTAAAAACAACACTGATAAAAGTGAGTCAGAGTGGCGCTGTAGCAGGAAGCCAGAGCAGAGATTAAACATTAAACCAGCAGAGGCTGAGTCTGGTGACAGACACAGGCTGGCATTCAAGTACCTGCAGCCAATATTTCCCCACCAGAAACTGTGCTTGATAACATTCCTAAAACCCTCAAAGGAAATTACCCCAAACTGCTCATTTTATTTAACTGGAATCATGTAACTACATCAGAATTCATTAACTAATAGTCTTTACTCGTCGTCAGTTGCAGCCATCGAGCCTCATTCTGTTATTCGGCTTCTAATCACTAGAGGGCAGTAGATGAGCATTGACTAGCATAGCTCCTGCGCTGTGTGTAAAATAATGAATATTTCAATAGATGAGTACTGATTTCACGTTTATTTCTCTAGTAAATTCAGCCTCAAAAACTGTAGATGAAACCCTAATATAAGAGAGAAATACTCATTATGTTAATAATCAAACATTATGCATTATACATTATAATTCACATCTTGAATGTTTGAATTGGTCAAATCTTGGTAATTCCATATGAATATAATGGCCATTGTCATTGAATCGTTTAAATTCAGTTAAATTAATTCAATAGTTGAAAAAAAAAATGAAAAATGAAAAGATACTACATTAGGTTCCACAAATTGCCACACTGGTGAAATCCTGTGGATAACCTCTAGTCAGCCTATATTTAGGGTCCCTTAAATGTCTTATCATGTGCTCAGTGAGCTCCAATACATAGTTCAACTGTCTCAAAGCCTTCATAACAGGGTTACTGGAGAACAGTCTGTCGACAGTCATTTCAGCTACTTGTAGGAACTTATGGACACCTGTGTGGTGATCTGAGGAACTGCAAATTAGCAGAATACTTTATATGGTATTCAGTTGTGATTACATAAATCTGTGATAAATTTCAATGGTCGTCATGTGTCTGTGTTGTCAATGATGTGTGTCTGAATTCACCTTGGAAAATGTCCTAAGGGTCGTTTTGTCCCAAGATAGCCAACTGTGGTTTATCTTCATTCCTCTTCAATTAAATGTTTATGAGGTCCGCTCCACTGTTAATGGGCATATGTCTTACTTTCACATGCTGTCATTACCAGCTTGATGTGGCCCATTTTCTTCACTCTTCTGGGATTGCCTCAAAGATGTCCCTCTGCAACATTCTCACACTTAAGGATCTAGGTCTGCCTCCTTCAACAGCACATCAAACACATCAAGAAGATATATTTATTTTTAAAAGGAACGATGCATTGCATATTGCTAGAACAAGACGCTCACACATTTGTCCCAGTTAATTAAAAACTATTGTACTGGAAGTGTTTTAATATCACATATCCACAGAGGGAGGCTCTGATACTCACAGGAATTTCATGTTTTCATCCTCATTTGAACACATGCTCATCCAATATCACAGTGCCACAGTGTATTCTCAAGAATTTGATATTTATTATCTGAAACATGGGCAGATTTTGTCCACACTGTAGCTTCTTGGGCTATCTCTATGTAAACAAAATAAGAGGATCTCAACATACGAGACCATGATAACCCATGCCTTTATGTACAGTCAACCTGGGAGGATACAAAATGCAAGTTCATCTCTCTGTATAATCATTCACAGGTATTTCATAAAGAAAGGCAATTAGGAAAAATCAGAAAGAAAATCATGTAGTCCAATAAAAAAAAAACGCTCTAGTGATTTGGTGTCCCATCTACTCGTGTATGCAGTTTGACATCACAAGGCATCTGAGTCTTACTTTATAATTGGCACACAACAACATTTAGACTGTGTTGACAGTGAAAGAGAGAGAAAGGCATGAACAGGGGTCATGGTCATGCAATTTTACATCAAATTATTTTTATCCAGGATCTAAATTGCACTTGATTTTGGTCATCAACAGCAGCTTAAATAGTAAAGCAGCCTGTTCTTCTATTTTTGTCTACATTAGGAATTCAATTTTATGACTGGCTTTCTCAGTTCGTCTTTGATCTCTGTTTTATCAAAATCTGCTAGAAGTGTCAAGTATATTTCGACAATGAAAGCTATGAGAATTCTCCGTTTTTTTTAAGTTTTCAGTTTAAATGTAGTCATCATTGTTTGGCAAGGTTGCTAATTTTAGGCATCGTTTGTACACAAGAACAGAGGACTGGAAATACGTAAGACCTAAACACAGTATTGACAAGACTGAAACAAGTTGGATAGGAGTTGTGATCAAGCCGCCAAATGGTAAACTATGGAAATCTTTTTCTAATTTAATAATAATTTAAATGTTTTACGAGCAAATCATAAAAAGCAAACACGCATTATTAAACGTGTTTTGGGGGAAATTTAGCTTCAATCTCACATGAAGTGTGCACAAAGTCTGTGTCTTTGAGTGAGTGTGCAGCTTAATTTCTATGTGGTCATAAGCTGTATAAAATATATTCGTTTTTAAGTTAATAAGGGTATAGGCTTTGGTTAGGAATCAAATGTCTTGCAAAATAAAAATAAAATCATTCATAAATATTAAATCAAGCAGAAATAATTACTACCCCATTTTTGCCTGATCTTATTAAAAAAATCATATTTTAATCATTAAAATAATGTCTCAGATTAAAAAAAACTAGCAGGAAAACTAACTCAAATAAAAATAAAACTTTTCTAAAGCAAGTTGCAGTGAGATGGTTTGCAGTCATTTACCATTGGTTCGAAATCTGTGACAATTACACCATCAAACACGTAACATTGTCAGCTGCTTTTAAAGTTATGTGATTATTTAAAACCATAGTCAGTAAAATACACGTGAACAGAAGAGACAGATTTTAGCTCTAAGCTGCCTTAACGGTATGTTCTGAAAAGTGCAAAAGTGAGCCACAATAATGTCTTCCATAAGCATCTCCTTCCGCTCTATCAGATGTATTCTAGAGAAGGTCTTCTCATGATTACAGAATGATTCGTTTAGTGTTAATTCTAGTTTTCACTGATTCGCCAATCTCTTGGTTGAGGAATTCATTTGTAGGTAGAACAAGGAATGCATTAAACATACATTACCACATTACTGCACCACTATATTTGCAACTCTAAAAATACTATCCAATGCATCTCTGTGTAAAAAATAAATGAAATAAAACAAAAGAGCACACACATACATTTGAAAAAACCATCCATAATCCATTCGTCACAATTGCACTGAAACATGCAAGGTTTAAATCTCAGTCCTGTCATACATTTGTGCCTACCACAGCATTTAGCACTCTGTGCTGTCATTTCAGATTCAAAAACGCAGCCTCTCGGTAATGTGAACACTTCTGGAAGCTCAGATTTTGTTAAAATGAAAGTGTTACCAGCTTGAGTAGAAACTATTCCTTCTTTTATTTTCTTCCTTCCAATATTTCTTTCCTTTTTTCCTTCCTTCCTTCCTGTCCTTACCTCCTTCCATCTTTTCCTTCCCTAACTGGTGGAAGTATTGAAAGGCTTCAGAAAATAAGAGAAGACTACGACAGAGTTAATGGTATTTGTTAAGACAGACAAGTTAAATGTCGTCAAGTGGAATGTATCTGAAAAAGGAATGCAATGCTTGTGTTAACATTGTACAAAAACTCGCTCCAAAATTTGTAAATGGACAACCCTCCACAATCTATACATTCAGGCACTGAAAAAAATAACATGCCAATATGTAACTAAAAAAGGTTAGTTGCACCCAATTTCCCTTAACGGAGCAAGGGAACGGAATCCTTAAGGTTGGCATTCCTGCATTATTCTACTCAGTAGTAAGGTCATGTGCTCCTGCGTCTCCAGCTAAATGCTGAAGTGATCTCAAAGCACCCCGACGTGTTCTCGGGGCTCATCCTGGCACAGATGTCTTACAGGACCAGTGAATCTCTTCTATGTGGGTGTGTCGCTCCTTTGTGGTCTGCGTTGGTTCACTCTGGCAGGCATTGCTTGGGCCCACCTTCCCGTGGACCCCGTGATCTCGCAGTTTGAAGGACCAGTTTCCTGACTCACGCCATCTTCCTGAACGCAGTCTTGTAAATATATGAGGGCTTTACAAAAAAGCTAACTTGAACAGCCATACAATGGCTAAACATAAACCATATATCTACTATTTTTGATAATTCTTCTCTACTTATTAACACGAGTCCTCAATCTCGGCTTGATCATCTTACGTGAATAAGTCTGAGACCTTTGGAAGCAGCGAGCAGGTCCAGGGTTAGCGTTAGCCGCTGTCAGAGGAAGTGTGCGGGGCAGTGGAGGGTGAGCGCCGCCGTCTGGAAGGGGTCCAGGAGCGCTCCGAGCCCAGCGAAGCAGGGCAGAAGCGGTGCACGAAGCCATCCAGGAGGTCCTGCTGCTGCTGAGTTATGGCTTGGGAGATCAGACAGGGCAGAGCCTGCAGGCTGCCGGTGACTGCGTCCAGCTTGTCCTCCAACGTGCCAATACGCTTGTCCAGCTCCTCACTGCGTTCCTGCAGCTCTGACACCAGGTCGTACATCACATTCTGAGTCTGGAAGAGTACGCAGAAAAAAAAGAGTGAGATTGAATTCAATCAATTAATAAATCCATCCATTTCATAAATCTTATTTTGTTCAAAGATAGATTAGTATTGCCCTTCAGAAGCTACAAAACATGTTCTCAAGAAAAAAAAAATGTATACAATTTACCTTGATCATTGTGTTCACAAAGTTTTCACCCCCCAAACTCTTAATGTACTTTGCTGCTTTTTTTTTTTTTTTACATCAATTAAGGTTTGCACCTTTTGTAATAGTTGTGTATGAGTCCCTCAGTTGTCCTCAGCATAAAATGATGGATCTCAAAAACCATACAGTCATTGTTGGAAAGGGTTCAAGTATACATAAGATGCTGGGAAAGCAAAGACCTGGAGGATTTCGGTAGGCAGTTTAACTGCTCAGGACAAACAATAGACTCATGAACAACTATTATAAAGCAAAAACAAAAATGGATCGTGGTAACAACACACAGCATTAAAAATCAAGAGCAAGTAAACCTTTGAAAGGGGTCATT